AAAACAACTGATTGATACAGTTATTGATTCTTCCATCATGAAAATGTCAAAACACGTACTATATACATGAACGTCAAAATTCATAGAATCCTCTTTCAAATTAGCATAAATCCATAAATTAATGAAGAAAATGATGAAAGTCATAAAAAAGCAGAGGAGCATTTCATAAATGTTGGAATGATGGAATAAAGAAAAAATCAGCAGAGATCTGTCCAAAAATCTTCAGACGTCCACATTTATTTATAGATATTATTATGATCTATATGCAAACAACAAAGCAGAAATGCATATTCAGTTCTATAAAAAGATTAGAGTGACCAACTATTTCAAACAATTTATATTTTTTCCTTACATCTATTCTTTGGTTAAACAGAGAACTTATCATTTACTCAACGCTGAAAAGATATACAACAAGAAACTAAGATGCGATATCTTTCTTTTAACTTTGCTTCGGATTATGTATACATATATATATATATAACATATTTCACAGGACAAAACGCTATTTTAAAATGGGAATACAAAAGAATTAATTAAATCCGTCATAGAGACTATCTACAATATACTACACCTAGGAATCCAAACAGTCTCAAAATGCATAGCGAGATTCTTATTTGAAAAAGCGAATCATCTTTAAGGTGTTTTACATTTTTAAATGTCTTAAGTATAAATTTAATTTATATTTTTTACATTCAATTCTTTTTCCTTATATCAATTTAAAGCTGCGATAATTTTCCTCACAATTAAAAAAAAATGCTTTGCAACACGAGCTAATTCATAATCAGAAATCTCGAAAAATGACTTTGAGTTATATGAGCACTGCTGCCACTGCAATAAAATGAGCTTTCTTTAAATGTATGACTCATCTTTATAATTCATTATGAAAATTTGAAAGTCATACAACTTATCTCCATAAACAAGAAAGTTGGTAAATTCTTCGTTGAAAAAAATTCAGAAGAAATGGAAAATAAAGTGACGAAAAAGATTTGAAAGATTTTACATAAAACTTTTCTGACACATGCCCACTTTTGTGTTAATTGATAGATGCAAGCAACATACATTGATTAACGACTGAAGCTTAAGATGAACGTAGAATAATTTGTAAACAATGCTGAAATGAAATATTGCAAGGAAAAATTATCACATTCGATTTTTAATTACTTTCTATGCATTCTCCAAATTCTAAATATTATTTCCGAAAAAGATATCTAGAGTTTTTCTTGATTACACATTTCTACTCTGCCGGGAAAAAACTAATATTGGCAGTTAAGCTCTCAATTAATGAGATTTCGAATCATTTGGTTCGTATTGTTGTCCACGTTTACAAACATAAATATCTTTTGTGCAAAATATAAAAAAAAAAAGAAAGAAAAATGTTAAATTTTAAACAAAATGCTTGAAATGTTTAACAAAATAATTGGGAAAATCATCTCAATAATATCGGAGGTTTGTTAACAACTTTGAACTCTTCTGCCTACCTCTTAGCTCTATCATCTTTTGTACACTTGATGAGTTTTTTTGCATGCAACTCTTCAAAATTTCCCAAGATATCGGATCTTACTTTAATTTTTTGCAAATGCCTGTTTGCTTGAGTCATCCATGCAAATAATTCCAAAAACAAGAAAAAGAAGTGATGTCTTCAGTTCTAGCAAGGTCGTAAGCCCACTTGTGAGATTTACAGCACCAGCAGCTTTTTAAGATTAGTGAATCTATATTGCTGGTTATACAAAGAGCCTGTTTTTCGCTTATGAAGCACGAATACGAATTACATATGAATTACAGCGCGATAACCGTTTTCATAATCAAAATCAAACGAGCAAATAATTTGAAATCTATGCTATTCTTTGAGACTTGATATACATATTCGCACACTGAATAGATTCACGTAAATAATCCAAATTTCAAGTGCCCTACAATAACTGATATAATAAAGAACTAATAGCATACATCAACGCTGTAATTGACTTGAACTAAAAGCGTTCTCAAACACTACACACACTTCGACGATGACTTTCACATTACACCCCATCAGTGGTGTCGATCGAAAACACTGATGTTAATCTTAAATGTCTCACATTATTTTGTGCATACTCCGAATGTCCTTAATTTCTAGTAAATAACTCACCGGTTACAGTTTGCCTGAATAGGTTAACTTGCACAGTATATGACTGCACAATCCATTTTTCAACCAGAGGCCAGGAACGAACAGAATGGTGAACAAACCATATTAATCGTTATATTGTCGGATGTTAAGCAGTTATTAATGTTACTTAGTAAATACAAACATAAGACGCGACTGCAAGAAGTGGTAATAGTAGCATATATTAACATTGTAATTCATGTTGTAATGTACACAATAAGTAAATGAACACAAACAACTAAAATACACAAAAAATGTCTCTTTAGTTGTTTCTACCTTCCAATGCCTTCCGGGTTTGCTCATTTTATTTTATTCATAATTCAGATCCACTTGAAACATAATAAATAGATAACAATTTCCACAAAAAAAGAAAAATGTAATAGTGTAAATTTGACGGATGGTAATTGATATGCAGGATTGGTATGTCATAAACGTGAAAAACACTTTGTATTTCAGCAGGTGACCGAATGAAATGATCAATCCTAAGGATTTGTTGTCCAGTGTAATGACCTGTGAATTTATGTAGAATTTATCCTCATATAAATTATTTCATTTAATAAGCAAGCATACATATATGACTGAAGCCAATATACAAAATAAGTTAAATTATATAACAAAGTCCTTCTTGAAAACAAATAATTGTTGCAAGGTTTGTAATGTGATATGGCGCGCAAGTTTTATTTGATTTCAAAGATCGCCGAAAGTATGAAGCTTATGTTAAGCAGCAGTATGATGGTTGTCATAGATAACTAGTAGAGTCTACAGAATTGATCTTAATAATTATTCACTGAAATAGTTGAAATTAATGATAATTTTTGCAAAGATTAAAAGCACTTACTCGAAGCTAATCGCTTCCTGTGCTTTATAGTATCAATATTACTCAGTGATTCATCAGTAAACTTCTCCGTAAGATTTGTTCAGACTTAAGAGATTATTGTTAGAACCATTTTCAAATCAAATTGCTTTTTTAGTATAACAGCAGTCAAAAATCAAAGTTATGACAGCTTCAAACTCACATTACATAGCGAATAACAAAGCTTTTTGAATTTATATGGAAGTATTACATTTTTAAAGTTATTACTGTCAGTTGGATTGATGCGCTTATTGATCAGTTAAGACATTTCTAGAAAATTAATTTAGTTGTTCCACTTTGTAGATTCTTTGCAAATTAATGCTGGATATTTTCTTTTAACTATTGGAAAAAGGTTATTTATTTTAAATTGGAAGTGATAAAGCAAAGGTGATGAATCTCATCAAATAGCTATCAAATAGCTTTAACAAGAAGATAACCCGTTTTGAAACACAAATAAGGAAATCGAAGAGGTGGATTTGTGGTCATACCTGCTTATCCCATTTCATGATCTCGCCAGTTACAAAACTAAGGCAGGACTTTTTTGAGACTCAACCTCTTCTATTCTACTGTGCAAATTCGAAACATAAGACTTCACATTTTCTAAAGAAACGATCGGAAAGATCTAACTAGCAACGAAACAACACATAACCAGTGATTGCGACAGATGGTGCGTGTAAAACAAGAACATGCATTAGGAATGAATGCTGTGGAGAAAACAAGGATAGCGCTAATCATTTGTGAGGGAAAATAGCTAAATAAAAAAAACAAAAGCGGGAAAGGATACATTTTTTAGCAGATATTTCATTCTTGTAATTTCCTTTTCCAACCATTCCATTTATAATTTCAGACATTAACCAAGACTTCAAAATGGAACTGTTGAAAATTTGTGTAATCAATTTATCAGAACCAAACTTTAAGCTGAATAGTAGTACCTTTTCCCATGAAATAAAGAGAAAATTTAATACACTAATCACTTTAAAAATACAATGTTAGAAATGCGTTTTGATGCCTTTTCCATTACTGCTTTTATTCAAAATATCATTTAACTGATAGAGAAGACAGAGTTTAAATTATTTAATCCTTTACTTTAATGAATTTATAGCTTCATACTCTACTAATTGTTAGTCTATTGTTCCATGTGTTAAATATTGCTTTGTTATCAATATTCTGATAAGTTTGTCTGCAAATCGTCGAGCTGAATTTAAAGTGATCTCTAACAAGTGCCGAGTTGCTTTAGTTAAGCCGGTAGGAACTTCTTTTCTAGAGTTAATAGCTAATCCGGCTTTCAGATAATTATATCAACAAAATTTCCATACAAAAAAAAATGAGAAGTGATACAAGAAAGGAACACTAATTAAATATCACGAGGTGCATGATTTATTATTGCATTTTTATTAAGGAAGACGACAATTGTCAATGAAAACGAACATTGAAAAGTTTTTTATACATAACGTTAATTTGGAGAACTAGATTTGAAATTTGCAAAATATTGTTTATAAAAAAGATTTTAGGTGTAGATGCCAAATTTAAAGTTTTTTCGAGAAGGATTGCAACTGCTTTCATGATTCAGTTGATATCATTCATTCCGAAAAGGGACATTTATTAAAACTTGTTTATTCTTTGCGAAACTGAGAGTCTCTTTCTACTGCGCATCATTACCTTCTTCAGACTTCAGCTCATACAGTACACCTCATTCATTTGTCCGTATTTATCTTAGAGTTTGAGGATGATAGTACAACTCTAATTTTTGTAAAATTATTGATAATTTGTTATGTTTAACTGAGATACTGCCATGCCATGCATGAAGTGGTATGAAAAAATATCAAAGGTTTTTAAACAAAGATATTATTTTAAAATTTTGATGAGACTTTGATTTTTAAAGCAAAAACGAATACTTCAATTTTTTTGCTATAACATCATTAAATTGCTGTGATTTGTCAGGAAATTGTATAAACGCAGCAAATATCTATCAAACAATTTGTTTTCATGACGTTATTGTGTGAAAAAATGAAATACAAAGCCACTGTGCAGCAATACATATTCGTTGAAATATTCTTTCAATTGTGTTGTGAAGCAAGGATTGACTACAGTTTGAATTTTCGACTACAAAACGTCATTTCTTTTCAGCATCTGTTTGCTCTTTACAAATCTTCTTGTTTCAACGAACTTTTTTTCCCCAAAGTTTTTATATCCTGGTATACTGGAGATGCAAAGAGTAGTTTATGAAAATATAATCTCAAAATTACAGGAAACCTTATGCGAGCAGTTGCTTATCGCCTCCTTAGAAATAAATATGTGGAAATTTTCTGATTTGCCGACAGATAAACAAGTTAGTAAGATCCATAATTTTGGAAAAAGAGTTTTTTCTCCTTAAGTGCTGTATGCTGAATTTGATTCGCTTTTTATATTTAAATCCTGAAAATTTCACAGCTACCTTGTAGACTGCAACACTGCTTACTGCGATGCCGTGTACGGTCAGTGTTACTGATGTTTCAAAAATAAGTAAAGTAAGTTCCATTTTTGTGAAGTATTTAGAATACTATGTCGAAATTGATGCAACAGTTTTATGAATCTCTATGCTTATGACCTGTGGTAAGCATGGAAACATAGACTTGAGTGTTTTACTGAAACCATTGTAACAAAAAGAAAAAAACACGAGTTCCTAAAAGCCTTTTGATTCTCGATGTCATGAAGATAATGTTGTAATTTGTTCAAACTAGCAATAAATGTGGTGAACATGCAAATGAAAATGAATATAGCATTTTGAAATAATCTTTCACTCAATTTTTTAGAAACCTTAGAATGGTTCACAGTTTTCAGACCAATCTTTTGAACATAAGAAAATCCAAACTATAAAACAAAAATATAATCTCTGGTCTTGTGAATAAGTTGTAAATTTAATTAATCTTCCAACCACTATGATGGTTGTTGTAGTTATCGCCAAAAGATCTAGAACAAGTGCAATTTTCGGTTAACTGTTTTAAGATGATGAATGGAAATATAATTATTAGTAACCACTAATTTTTTTTCCTTTTCTGTAAAAGAGATCATTCTTGCATCGAAATGATTATAAACGATGAAATTTTCAGGAATTCTTGAAAGATATTCAACAAAAAATGAGTAGATTGGCATACATGTGCGAAGTTGAATATGATAGTATTGGTAAGTTATTCAAGTATCACTTGTTTAGACAAGGAATTCTGTTTTTATGGATATTTTTTTTTTTGCCAAAAATTCAAGGAAAAATAATTTTGAAAAATACTACTTAACATTTCCATGATTTATAATTTGATCAAATGCTTAGCTGATATTGGCATCCAATTTGCTTTGCTATTTTAAAGAATCATTTAGAAAATTCATGATTGTGTAATTTCCACTGTTGAAATGTAATAAAATAATAAACTCTTCAAGATATTCCATTTAGAGCTGTGTAAAGCAATGAATTCACTATACAACATGTGGAAAAGCAGCCCTCTGGAAGAAATCGGAAACGATACTTTAGTACGCATTAAAAATGCAAAAGAAAAAGTATTGACTGATGAAGATGTTGAAATTGTTATTGATTTTTTCCTCGAGATGTATATAGATCAGTTGTATAGATTTATCCAGACATCATGCTTTAAATAATTAGTGTTATCGGAGATTTTTTTAATGAATTGAACATATATTCCAGTATTTCAGTGTTGATTAATTCTGATTAAAAACTTTACAGAAAGTATATACGTCGCATTTTCCCAGTCATTGCTTAGAAATTTCTGCAATTTGATGTATGAAATTTAATACATTGACAAAACTAGATTAATTTCAATTTACTAACAATTTATACTATATATACAGGATTAGATAAAAAAAGTAGCATTCAGAAAAAAATGAAAGTGAATGAAGTACCAGGAAATTTCATCTGAGAATATGTAAAACTCTAAGACTGCATATTTAACTAATATTGTGAATCGCTACATAAATATTTCAAAATCTATATGGCATTGTCAAACCTTTCATTCTCACCATTTACTTATGACTCACTTTTCTGGAGTTAATTGTTGAAATTTGAATTTGCAATAAACTCTGCAAAAAAAGATGTAAAAAAGGATTAATTAGTGACAAGCTGTAGTAACATTATTTTTGATGAAATTAATTGGAAAGATTTAGATTCCTTAATATCAGACAATGATATTTTGAATCGGTTACATTGCTTTTCCTTTGTTCACACTGACTTTAAAGTTATTCCTGTCCGAATATGTGCATATTGTAATATCCCCATACTTAAGAAATCTCTCACTGATCTATTTCCTGAAGTTTTGACTGGTTTGCTCATACTTCTCAAGCTACTCATAAATCAAATGTTATTTGATTCTCTTTTTTTGACAGAGGTTGGGTCGGCTAAAAGCCAAGTTGAGATGGGAAAATCAATCAAAAAAGCAAACGATCTAAGAACTGCTCTAACGAGATAAAACAACTGTTTTCGGATGGGGCACTCATTTGTAAAATTGTTTTCGTCTTTGCGCAGTTTTCACTACAACACTGCTCCAGTTTTCTTTCCGGATTTTTACTTCAACACCTCAATTCATTTCGTTCTTACTCAGTATTTATTCCTTATCAAACATTTCTCTTCGATTATAATTGATTGCATTGGTTGCCATAAATGTTAAGCAGCTATAATTTTTTTTTCAATCATCTTCATAGCCTTAATATTTGAAGGTTAAACTCACATTTTCAAAAATTTTTACTTCTAAAGAAAAAATGGCTGGATACTAGTATGTGGTTATTTATTCATAATTCAGTAAAATGGATGTTTTGACGGTTAGTAAAAAGACATCGATGATTACCGTGGTCACCCAAGAAGGAGTCCATAATTTGAATAAGTTTCCTTATTTGCAATTTAAAAGACTGGGAGGCAAGTTTCACTACACTAACAGTAATTTGTCTTGCAAAATGCATCTGTTATGGAGCATAGCTACGGGAAGCGGTTAAGCGAAGAAGGTTCAAGATATACCAAACATATCAACTTGCCAGTCAGGTTTTAACAATTCTATGAAATGAATAGGAGCTAAAGTGTTCCAGTAGAATTTAATTGTCGCTTCATTTTAGGTAGATTTTGGGAAGTACCATTGTGCACATTTATCTCAAAAAAGTTTGTATGTGGATGTTTTGAGAAAAAAGTGTAACGAATAAATTATTTTCAATGTAAGCCAGTCTATGGATAGTTCTGTGCTGAATATATATTATTTTTGTTGCTATTATCATTGTTAGCAACATCCAGAGCAATAGCTGCAGAAATAAAATAGTAGCAGACAGACTTAATTGACAGATTGTTTAGGTTTGAACAGCATCTTAGCTTCCCCTATTTCAGCGCAGCCTTTTTCGAAAATTTTCAGCCACTTCTATGTGTTATTTGAACAGCTGTTATAAATTCCATCCCAACTTGAAATTTTTAAGTTTTAACTGAGTGAGCATTAGCTTCTTTTTCACCTTTGGTTTCCTTTCATTTTATTTTTTCCGGCTTCTTTTTACTATTGCATAAATTACTGACTCACTTCATTTTAAGATAGAATTCTTCTCATACTCTTCTCATGCAACCAAAATTTAATCTCTGCATAAAGTGATAATAGTTTGGTGATATTGTGTTTATATTTAACTAAGGTGAACATTTTTGCTTTATCCTATAATTTATCTTTTATTCTACTCGCATTGCATTGCTAATGCATTCATAGCAAACTGTTCGGATGCTGAGTATAGTAAGCCTCTACAAGGAATACCGTTGGACTGCGTTCTTTTATATAGCTTCCTCAATAGCCAAACGTTCAGGTGCACATTTAATTCGCTTACTGATAAGGTAGACTATTAAGACATCAATATAACTGACTTGTAGCACCAGTCCTGAATATTGAAAGGTACAAATAATCCCTAATGGACTATTGATCGATGTAAATTTTCGCACTTTTTTTCTGAACTTCTTTTAAATCGAATTCAAATTTTTTTGAAAATTATTTAAGACAAATTTCTTTCAAATCTTTCAAACGTCTTTCAAATGAGATTCATTTGCCAGCTGTTTTAGCTTTACCAGCTACTAATTTTTCTTCTTCCTCGAATTTCTATATATATATATTTTCTTTTATACAAAAAATTCATATACATTAACTATCAACAGTGTAGATTTTGTGACAGGACTTTATATTTCATAAGACGTATAATACGCTTGTCCTATGATATGTACCTTCAGTGATAGTATATTCACTTTCTCCTTACGAGCGAAACTCAATATAACACAGACAAAATTTGGGTAATGTCGAAATCGAATATTGCTTGTTGGTAACGATATCTGTGCTAGTGTCTAAGCCATCGTACATTTTTACGAGCACTTTTTCATCAAAAATTTCATGTACGATGAAAGCTTAATATGCATTCATGGAATCTGAGAGGATATTTATCGGATGTTACAGAAAACAAAATGCCATTAGGAGCAAACAAGTATTGTAATAAATTACCATCCATGTAGCATGCAGTCGTTGGAAATGATAACTGTTAAATCTCGCTCATATAAAAATCCTGCCGTTCAGTTTTCAATTTTTTCTGTCATTTACTATGAATTTTTTTTCTGTTTTCTCTTTTTTCGTTTAATAGTCCTGTTGATTTATTGCATAATTTGCATGGATTCTCATTTAAAAGAAGAATGAAAAATAAGTTAGATTAGAACTGTAACCAAAAAAGAAAAGAAGAAAGTCTGATATTTCACTGAAGAACTGAAGAATTTCATTCTCCATTAAACTCCATAATTCGCCGATGTTTACAGTGATCGTGCACAGCTAAAGATTTTAGTATAATATAATTCATATCGTCCTATAAAGCCTATCATTTACAAAACATTCGGTGGTAAGGATTTAATGCATGATCTGTTGTAAATACCAGCCGTTCAAATAATCAGAACGTGGAACTTTTTAAATAAGCTCATATTTACCATACTTTTCAGCTCAAGAATCACATATATTTGAGTTAGGGTTACTGGTGATTTCCTTTCAATTTGAAATTCCATTGATATCCCAGTAATCTGCATTCTTAACTGTATCACCCTTTCTTGCTTCACTTCTGCTAGCTAATCTGAGGTCGAAAGAAATATTTTTGAAGATAATTGCACTGTATCGGACTACTTTTATGTAGCAAATGGCATGATTTACTTTTATAGCTTTAGTTTATCAGTTTTTTTTTATTGATGACGATCTTGGTAGTTGTTGAACTTTTATCCGAAATTAATTTGAAAGATGACTTTTCTTAGTGAAGATCTGTTTTTGACTAACAAATCTCAGAATGTATTTTTTCCAGTCTTTTCCCATTCTCTCTTATAGTTAAAAGCATTCTGGGATTTTGCAATTGTGAGATCAAAAAGCATTTCAAAAATCATTAAATTTTTGTTGGCATAATACAATATCATTAATGTAATATCATTTCGTAAAGGAAAAAAATTAACGCTGGAATTTTATCTTTCAAATAATTTGGAGCTGGACACTTCTTGGTAAGAAAATACGAATAATTCAGTGTGCTTATGTTTTCCGTGTTAACAGACATCTGCATCTGTTACTGAGGAGGTTAGTGATTGCAAAACTAAAGATTTGAAACGAGCAGGCTGAGAATTACTTCCGCTCTTATAAATATCGTGACTTCATATTGGATCAAAATAATACAGCTGACCTAGAAAACATAATTGGTCTAGAAAATGTTAGTTTGAAAATCAGTAAACGCACTTTATTGATTATACTGGACTTTTTATATTATTCCGTTTCAAACAAAACTGTCGATACTTGCTTGACATTTTTTCATTTTATCTGTAGTGAGCTTACTGTCGAAAACTAAGCTGAAACAGAAAGGATTTAATTTTTGAAGTAAAGGTAGAAAATGTAAAACGGCATAATATCTGGGCACCTATTTCTACCGTGTTCCCACCATGATTTTAACATTTCCATGATATTGATCAAAGAAATTTTTGGAACATTGCTTACAAGTACGAATTTTAAGACTTTTGCGAGGCTTTTGAAACTTTTAGCTTCGGATGATAAGATATTCATATGTGAAAACATTTTTCATTATCTTTTTTACGTGGTTATTATCAGTCAAATGCATAAATTAAAAATACATATTGAAGTTTTGAGTTGCGAGCGTTCAAAGTTTGTAAATGTTTTTGTTAGGAACGGTGAACATCGTAAAGTATTAAAGAAGGTGAGTCGTCTTAGGTAGCTGAACCAACCGTTTTAATCCGCAAATAAATTCAATTTGAAAGAACTTAAAGCGCACTAATCATGCAATGGGTCAAATTCATTGGACTTATATTTCAGCACTTATGTTTTTTTTTTTCTTTTTTTTAACAAATGCTTTATCCTCATCATAATATCTTTCATTGCAGTCTTGAATTAATTCTATGTTTAAATATTAAAACTTGAAACATTCGGAGTGAAAGCAAGTTTTAAATTCGTTGGTACTGAAACAGAGTTCAAATTCAATGGTCTTATTTGCTTAGGATGACGACCCACAGATCGCAAATGGTGTATATTGTGGCTGTGGTTTTAACCTGTCTTGCTCTGAATGATATCCAAGCGATGCGAATAAAACGAGATCATTCTGAACAAGAAAACCGCAAA